ACAGATGAATTGGCAGAAAGTGCTCGCTGGTTCCGTGCACATCCCCACCTGGCCCCGTACGTCCGCCATGTCGAGATCTGGATCCCGGTATGGGGAAAACGCGCCGTTAAGAATACATCGCATCATTTTCCGGCCCGGCGGTTGCATGACGAGGATGCCGGCCTGGTCGAGCCTGGAGTGCCTCAAGCCATCGCGTGGGACGACTCCGATACCAACCATAGCTCCGACTATCGATACCACTATGCCAGTCATAATGCGACACTGGAGGAGATGTTCTCCCACGTCAAATCCGAATTTCCCGAAACACGCATACTGACCCTGGAGGGAGGTCACTGTAAGCGACCGCCCATGGTCCGCCAATTCCGCGATGATCCATGCGGCCACTCCGGACGGCGGCGTTTGCCTACGCTGCCAGTCGTCCAGACGTTTGTCATGCGTGGAGCGTGGAATATCATGCGCGACTATCAACATTGGTTGAACATGTCACAAGCTTTACCGGGGGTGCGCGAGTGGCACTGCGCCTACGCCAAGCCCAAATTCGAGGCCTACGAGACTGTCGCGGAGATTCTCTCCCGCATATCCCCATCACTCGTCCATGTCAACATCAGCCTGGAAGGCTTCTACAACAAGGACAACACACAATCCGGCTGGATGCACGATGGAATCAGCCCACCACATCTCTGCCGCCTGCTTGGCGAGGCAGCCCCGCGGTTGGAGTCCCTTGCATTTACGGGGAAGGTCTGCGCCTGTCTCTTCAATGCAACCCGCAGCTTCATGTCCACCTGGCCGGCCAAGTCCAAGCTCAAGTCGTTAGATTTGGTGGTCAAGACCTGCTGTCGCGAAAAGCGGGCCAATCCGGGACTCGGATTTCTAGACGACTTTTCCGGCATCACCAATCTGAACTTTATCCGCTCTTTTGAGAAACTCGTCCTCGGCGCTGTGCACAGCCTGCAGCTGCACACTGCCTTGACGTACATGCGCATCCGCTTCATCGACCTGGATTCAGCTTGTCCGCCACTGAATCCCTACTTCCAGCTGTCCGACGACGAGTGCACTGGTTTGTGGAATGAGAGAATTCTCGAGACCTTGCACGAAGCCCGTCCCCAGGCGCACTATGCAGAGCTTTCCGACGGCATCTATCCCCAGTATGGACACAACCGGCAGATCGTAGGGGCGGTGTACCCGCGAACTCGACCATTAAGTATTCATGCATCGACATACAAAGTTATCGCCGATGTGTCCAAGCCATAGCGCTGCTTCTATTGATTTGATTGTAGTTTATGGGCGGGATGGCAGCAGCAAAAGTCTTGAATGTAGCCCATTTATGATACCTAGTCTTTACCAGATAATGCAGTATATTTTACGATGATTGCGTGAAACTGATTAGATAAGTGAATAGCGAAGCAGCAGTTGACTACAAGGGCTTCGCAGATACTGCATTGCAGTTATTATAGTTTGACTTAGAACCAGTTCAGAACAACAAGCTGGCAGATGCATTAGACAAGATCATACTACTAGTAAGAGATTCACCCATCCATGATATATACAACCACACCACCATTCCAATTCATACCTAACATACCCAAACAACTACCAGCTCCAACTATTAATAAACATACCTAAACCTCGGATTCTACCCCACCGTCAGCCTCACAAACCAACACACACACACAAACGCTGAAAGCAGGAAAAAACATACCTCAAAATCCGTCAAATCCTCCATAACCCCATCCCCCTCCCCACCACCACCAACATCACAACTACTCATCTCCCTCCTCTTATTCCTCCTCACCAACAAAACCCTAATCCCCCCCGCACAAACAATCTGACACACCGCACACGCAAGAATCAACTTACACCCCGTCTGATACACCGGCGCCTCACTCGCCAGAAACGCATGCGGACCGATGATATTCCCGATACAGTATGCCAGGAACACGAATGCCGTGGCGGTTACGCGCTTCGTGTATCCGCCCATGTTGCTGGAGGGGAGTTGGAGGGCCAGGACGAGGGAGGTTACGAAGGAGCCGATCTACATACCCCTCATCATCATCCATCATTAATATCTTACTTTCATGGGGGGAGGGGGTCTTACGATATAATACCCAAATAACACGCCATATTCCCGTTCTCGGGGTAACTTCCATAAAAGACATATACCGATGACGGTGGGAATCAGGTATGCGATCATGATGAAGGTGCGGGTGTTGGGGATGCGGGTTGAGAGGTAGGTTCCTGATAGGATGAAGAGGACTTGGAAGGCCCCTTGGGGGATGCCTAGGACGGTGGTGAGGAGGGGGCTGGTTACGAGGCCTTTGATTATGAGTTTGCCGAACTATATATCATTTTGTTCCGTATTAGTGGGATTGTGGTTGGTGGGGAAGATAGGGGATGGGATTTACGTTGGCGACACCACCGTTGATCGTCTCGTTCAGTAATGTGAATAGGAATAATAGCCAGACTTGGGGGTCGATGAAGGCTTCGTGGATTTGGTATAATTTTATGGAGCGGTTGAGTATTCCCTATGGTTTTTTATGTTAGTATAGTGTGGGTTGGGCTGAAAGGAAAGGGGGAGGGGAAGGGGCTACAGTTTGATTCTTCCTCCCCCTGCCGATGAGCAACACCTTCTCCTCCACAGTAAATGTCTTACTTGAGAGAATGCTGTTCGGGAGGAATATCATCATCACTACGCCCCAGATGATTGTGGCTCCGCCGCAGATGAGGAATACCGCGCGCCATACGGGGAACGTGTTGAGTTGGCCGATGGCGTAGGTGAGGAGGCCGCCGACCTGAATTTTTCTATTAGATTGATTTGGAATGGGATGGATGTGTGGGTACTCACCATCGATCCAACGCCATTACAGCAGTAGAAGATACCCGCACGGAAGGGTTGTTCCTGTCGGAGGTACCACATTCCGACGATCATCATGAAGCAGGGTGTTATTGGGGCTAGACTTGTTAGTTGGTAGATAGGTATGGGGTGAGGGTAGGGTTGGTACATTCAAAGCAGCCTAGGAGGAATCGACAGATGGCTAGGCCGGTGAAGTTGTTGCAGGCGGCTGTTATCATGAGGATGGAGCCCCAGGCGATTCTGGTGGTTGTGTTAGTGGGTTTGTATTGGGGATTTGGTATGAGACTCACACGAAGGATGAGACGACGGTCCCGATGGGTAGGCGTTGCGCGATGTAGCTGGCGGGGTATTCCCAGAAGAGGTAGCCTATTATCAGTAGGTCAGCTGCGCTGGGTGTATTATGATGTGAAGGGTGTATACCGAAGTAGAAGATACTCGCTAGCCAGCTATACTCATCACTGTTGATATGGGCATTGGTGAAGAGGTCGAAGACAGCGCTGTATGAGAGGGCCTGTTTATCAATGTATTGTAGACAATATGTCCCGCACATCAACGGCAGAAGAATCATGTCGATGCGTCTCCGTAATTTCTTCGTCCGGACTGGATCGTCGAGCATCTCTTGCATCTGGTCGTGGGATATGCCATGTTCGTGGAGGAAGATTTCGGCTTCGTCTAGGTGGGTGATTTGGCCGATGTCGACGTTGTCTACTTTTGTTGTAACTGGAATGGTCTTTTCTGGGTCTCGGGGTTTGGTATTTGATGTTACGTCTGTCATTGTGAGGGTAAGTGTTGTCTAGATGGAGAGAAAGTAGAAAATGGGGAATGGAGTGATATAAGGTGTTTTCATGGCCTATGACATTGCGTCGCCCTGATAAGCTGCAGCAGCCACATGATGGCGAGCCGCGAGACGTGTGTCGATAGCATGGCTCTTGGTCTGAGTGATAAGATCAATGCGTCTGGGTTATATTGCCGTATATAGCAAGATGCACGACAATCTAGGTGATTATATGCTATCTCGGAGGGTGTCCGAGATAAGACCAGGTGATAAGATGAAATGCGGGGTGCGCGATCGGCATCAGAAGTAGAGCCGATGAGTAGCTGAGGTGTGTCCGTGAAGCCTTCGTTTTTTGTTGGAAGGTGTAGAGATGATGATAGATGCGTAGGTTGTAGCTTGTACTGCTCTTTGTATAGGCACTCGATGGGTGTTAAGCTTGCAGTTTGGGTTGCCTTGGTAGGTGGTAGGAAAACCATAGTAGACGGTCTTTTGTCCACTGATTATTATAATCCAGACATTACCGAATGTCTGTAGGTAGAGGAGGAACAATGGATAGGATTGTCATGATCCGCTGTTTGAAGAAGACTGAAGAAAAGACAGGTAGTCACCGCAGCTGTGGAATTTACAGTCTATAACTCGAAGATGAACTAGAAACGACGAAGCTTGGCAACGCCTACTACGGCTGAGCTATCACAGCCAATCAATCTTTCATCGCGTCTTCGAGCAGACCCGACGGAAGGCCGCCGCTGTTGGCCGCATCCCGGCGCATGAAGAGCGACTACAACTCCAATCAGCTACCACTCAACTGTTGGATGAACCTCCAAACATATGAAAATGATCCCAAATTAACCTCGAAACCAATAACATGCCCTCTCCATCATGAAACAGCTTATGCACGTGAGATTATATTTATAAAATAATCTACATTAATTAATATCCCTGCTGCTGCAAACCTGACCTGCAACCCAACTTAGCGCTGCTGCTCTGCATCTAGTTATAAATATATCCCCCTAATATTACTACACTAAGTAATCCAACACGTTCTATCTCTGGAAACCGCACTATTCGGGTGATATTAATAGGGTCCAACTACTTTAGTGAACTACACTTGACCAATCACCACACCCGGAAGTTTCCAACAGGTTGGAATGGATCGTCCGGGAACATGCTGGGCTGGGATTGACAGCGGTTGCTGCCGCTGCGGCTATACCCATCTATTTCTGGGGTTGGCAAACATCTATATTCAGCTGCTGCATGTTCTCAGTGATGTAGTCATGGCTTCAATATTTAAGTATTGTGGAAGTTCCCGTAGACATGGTGTTCATCGACAAACACTTATAAATTGAAGCATCATCCAGAAACCAAATCTTCGCAATGGCAGCCATCGAATATCCATCCACCCCGGCCTCTATCCCCCTCCACCATCACCAAGCAACCATGGAAGCATCTCGATCTTCCGATGCCGAGAGACGACAGAAGGAAGAAAACCTCGCCAAAGCCAAAGCTAATGTCCAACGTATAATGCAACTTTACCGCTCTGGGAAGCCACTATTTACACGGACACTCTTGAAGGACCTTCACGAGCAGATCATTCAGGGAAAAGACGAAGTTAAGATCCCAACTTGGAATGGTGAGGCAAAAACATACAGCCTCGAAGTTCCTAAAGACCTCGCCGAAAGATGGTAAGTCTATCTGCTCCAATCAAACACAGTCTGTCACTCTAACAGAGGAAACAGGCGCAGATATAACATCGACTATAGCAGCATCCAGCGCTTAACACTGTTCGACCCATACCTTCTTGATCTGCTGTTGGACCCCCCGACCCCCGTCTCCATTACGTATGTGCGCGACCCAAGCCCTCCTGGCGTCACCCTCAAAGTGATCGACAATACATTCAAGCTGGTCCGCCGGGAATGGCAGGAAAGCGAGACATGCTCTAACCTAGAGGGCTCTTTCGTGAAACCGAGGTTTAATCCGGAGGCAATCACGATCACCAAAATTGTTGCCTTTGGACTGGGAACCCTCGGCAAGAACAACCTCGGGCAACTTCCGGTCCGCTCTTATGCCCAACATGCTGCTACGTTGACTATTGCCGCTGTTTTGAAAGAACGGAATATAAGTCAAGGTCTTGATGTGCAGTGCTTTAGCCAGGATCCGTGGTACAATGAGATAGATATTGAGTTTCTGGGAGGTCTCGGTATCACAGTGCTGAAAGACCCTGAGGGATTTTTGGAGATCGATGAGCAGACGCTGGTATTCTCTGTCGGTCCCGATGTTCCCGTTAGGCAGATCGTGGCAGATGTGCAATGGCCGGCTGCTATGGTTTGGAATAGTCCGCTTTCAGAGGTACAGATTAATCGGGGAATGTATTGGGCGCGGTGAGTTATTCTTCTCTTGCGTCCATACTTTTTGTTCTTGCTAATATGTGACTTATGTGTAGTAGTCCGATGGAGGCTGATCCTGATTCAGAGAGGGTCGGTAGTATGCTGCGCAACTATGACGGTGCGCAACTGGACGATCAGGCTGATTATTTTGGGGAGTTGACTGTTTATGCGAGAAGGCCGCGTTCTTAGTATACAAGCGGGGAAGGGTGTGATAATCCGTGATTTGGTAGTGCATGTGACAGGAAGTTTCATAGTCATCAGGGTTTGTAGGTGGTGTGAATAGTACCGTGATAGATTAGTTTCCTATATTCCGGTTATTCACAATCAATGTCCACCCTATTGCACATTGATGGCATTATATATCTGGCTCTGCATGAGCCTCATTAAAGTTATAGTATAGTCTCGAGATAACTCAAAACGTATTGCAAAAAGTCGAATCCATCCAGAAATTGATAGCAACTCTCATCGTAATGATAGATCCATTCAACCAACATTGTTGCTAAAAGGTGTCTGGAGAGGTGATCTGGTACTAGCAGCGGATGTGTCGGCTAATATTGTGATTGGTTAACTGAGACGCTGGTTCTAAGCTGATATGCAGGTTGACTGCGCCGCGTGCGGAATGGATCAATCGTGGTGTCAATAAGTCTGGATGATGAAGTAAGGAGCAAGTGAGATGATAGTGCATAAACTCCTGTTGAGACGTGTAGTACCCTATGATTGTTCCTGAATTTGAAGGCGGAGATGACTGGAGATCCAGACAATCTTCCATCAAGGCTGGGAATGAGTTATACGATAGTGAATCTGGTTATCACTATAAATGCCATACAAGGTCTTTAACTGCGATTCGTACAAGATAATCCTTGCGAGAGCAGATATGTCATTAACTATCGCGATGCAATGGGAAAGCCCTCATGGCACGTGATCGGAAACCGGACGATCCCTTATCCGTTGTGGGACAAGTCCGGCTTCACTTTCCTTCTTCCTACTTCCCCCACACTAACTTCATAGATACCATGAAGTGTACATCGTTTACATACTTTACATGGCACTGAACCTACTAAACTACTTCTGAAATAGTTAGATTCAACATCCTTGGAGATTGCCACTGAGTCTGTCTGTGATATCTTCTTCTCCGATTGTCCTGGGACCGATACAATCACTTAGGTCCACCTGGCTAGCGCTACGGCAGCAGCCACTTCCCCAGAATGGCCGATCGCCAGTTCAATCTTGCTGATACCCTTGGACATCGCCACAGCCTGAGCGTGTCCGTGAAGCTGAGCCATGTTAGTTGATACAGGCAATCAATGCTGTGTAATTGCCAAACATACCTTGACAGAAGGATTCCCGCTTTCATCCAGGATCTCGATATTTTGCATTGCAGCCCCTGCACCCATAGAAGGCACCCGGAAGCTTTTGAAAACGGCCTCTTTGGCACTCCACCGACCCGCAAATGCGGAGCGTGGGTTCGCTGCCTTCGAACAGTAGTCCCGTTCTGCAGGTGTGAAGTTGCGCTGCAGAAAATTGAGGTTCTCAATGTGGAGGCTCATGATCTCCTCCACGTCGACTCCAACGCTGGTTGATGTCGTTGCACCGGAGCGCTGAGTAACACGCTCGAGCAGAGACTGAACAAGCGCAGCGGTGACATCCGATCTCTCGCCTACACTATCCGGACTAGGAGCTTTAACCGGAGTCTCCGACCCGAAGGAGTCATCAGCAGCTAAGCGACTGTCCGGGTTAAGGAAGACACTGTGCATAGTCTCGGCGCTTTTCCACGGTGGATCACATTTGACTTGGACCAGCGAGTTCTTCAACAGCCGTGCGACAAATTCCACGTTGGCTGTTCGCTGCCTCTGTAACACTCGAGTTCGGTAGTCTTCAAATGTTGCAGTCGGAACCGCCGCGAAGACATACCTGGGTGTTACTACCACGGCCAACGCACCCTTTTGACCAAATCCAAAGGAGGTGAGCATGATCGCCTTCATGTCAGGCACCTTCATTGAATCCATGGGATAGACAAGATGCTTAAACTGTCGGAGCTGCTCATCTATATTGTCTGCGTTGCGGTTCCCTGGGACTATGCTGTCGCGGAACATTTGTATGCAGCCGTTAAGTTGCCAGGCGCCTGCAGCTGCCTTGGGATGCCCTGTCACAGATTTCTGACACACGCAGAGTAGCGGATTACCTCTCCGTCGAACCAGGTGGTTCATCTGAGCATTGATAACCTCCCCTTCGTTAAGCTCATTAGCTCGGGTTGAAGTCCCATGGCTCGAAACAACACCTATGTCATCGATCGATAGGGCCCATGTTGCTAGTGCGGCTCTTAGGGGAGAGATACTGGCATCTTGCAAGCGGATACTGTTAGCCCACCGGTGCTGGGCATCTCGTAGCCTTGATTTCATTCTTTCTTCGGTTGCACAGATGGTACTCTCAGTTTGGCACGTGCTGCTCACTTGCCCATCCCATGCTTGCTGACGAATTTCGGCTACCTCTCTTTCGAATCCCGCACGTCGAATTTCAAGATCCAGTAACGGCGAGTGCCGGGCGTCTGCTGATTCTCGTGCAGCCGTCAGGATTCCCTTGCCTGGGGCCGGAATCGATCGGCCGATTTGATCACTCGCCATTTGGGTGTAAGCAACAATGCCATAGATTGGCAGTCCCATCTCGAGGGCAAGATCAGCAGCCATCACTATTTGTACTCCACAGCCAGCAGACTCTGCAAACCCGCTACGGGAGCTTGTGGTAGGGCGAGAGAACTCTCCCGGAAGACGACCTTTAGCCAACTCTTCTTTGGTATTTGCAGTAGCCTTGATGCCGGCGAATTCGTAAGCGACTTCTTCTCCAAAATCATCACAACCTCCAACAATAGCAACTTTGCACTTCCCACTCTTAATAGCTTCGCATCCGCTGTCCAATGATTCTATGGCTGTGGCACACGCCCCGACATGCGTCCTGAGTGGACCCGAGGAAGAAAGAAGGAGCATGTTCACCCATGCGCCCATGGTGTTAGAAAAGTGATCAAGTATGATATCTCCTTGGACTGGCCGATCGAGATACCGGTCGCGGTACATGCTCTGGATTGTCTTCATAGGACCGCCTCCAGTACCTAAGCAGTTGGCTACCTCAGAGACCTGAATATACTGATACATCTGATACGGATCTTTGATGCCAGCGAACAAGAATGCCTCCGAGACGCAGCAAAGGGCATACAAAGTAGTGGGGTCGGCCTCCTGAACAATATCCCCGGGAATGCCGTATCGCAAAGGGTCCCATCCCTTGGGGACCCTTCCGCCCACTAAAGGGTGGAAAGGAATTGCCTTGGGCACCATTACCACAGCGCCCTTCTTCATGAAGACACGATAATTGTCCGAATCTGAGATTGGCCGGACAACGACATGGTCCCCATGGCGCAACTTGAATGCTTCGGCCGCTGACTTGGAGCTCTCGAACGGCGGCAGATCATCTTCGATCACAACTTCATGCATGAACTCCATTCGTGATGGATCGTAGGTGTTGAGTGCATCGGGCTCAACAAACCGAAGGCCGGAGTTCTCCATAATCTGTTGGTGGTACCTTTCAGGAATCTCGTCATCCGAGATCGGCTCGCTTGTCACGACATCGATCCATCCAACGTATGGCTGGCCCTTGAGATCGCCTGTAATGTGTCTGATCAGACCCATCATCCACGCCATCTCAACGTAACCTTCTAACGAGAATTGACCCTGGCTTTCCATTTCCCATCGTGTTCGTGAGCTTCCCCATGGCCCAAGCTCTGAGAATCCTACGATGACGACCGTTTGCGAAAGGTCAATCATTCCTTGAAGACCGGGAAGCCTCGCCATCATATCCTCCTGCCTCGCTATCGAAGGGAACCCAATATTGAGGTTGGCTCGCTTATTTCTTACTTCTGGCTCCTGTGCATGAGGGTTTGCCTGCTGTCCGTGGAGGGCTGCTTCGTGATGTATCTCCTCTTCCGCCAGAACAACACCCAAACGAAGATTTTCGGCCACCGCCTTACGACTCGCTGCGATATGTTCCTTTAAATTCCACATGGCCCCAAATCCGCCAGTTAGATCTGCATATACAGGTGTCTCGTCGGCAAGAGCAGTGATGGCCGGTGATAGCAGCGCCAGGATATTGAAGGCCATCTCGGCCCTGCTAAAGGTGATGACACCGAGCTTTTCCATCTCTGCTGCTATCATATCCGATGAGTGCATCAATCCAGTTCCTCGAGTCCACCCCATGACGGCTCCACAGATAGTGGCATACGTCGACCAGCTTTCGGAGTGGAATCGATTGAATAAGGACTTGAGTCCAATCTTGGCCTCCGCATAAAGGCCGTCTCCACCGATTGTCCCTTCATTGCATGACAAGGGTAGAACCACCATCGTCGGTCTGGTGTTTATGCGTCGCTTTTCCTTTTCGCGACAAACGAGACCCACCAGCCGCAGGAGGTTCACAAGCATCCCTCGGAGGGCAAGTTCCTGACGGCTGCCTAAAGTGTCGGGCTCACCGGTTTGTGGAATAGCGGCAAACGGAATGATGCAATCCACGTCATTACCAGCAGATGCTTCTGCGCCGTATATATGTCCGATTATAGCCTCACAGTCTTGTCTGCTGGCTTGGTTCATTGGGAGTAGCGTCAAACTAGCCCCGCGAGCTCCGTACTTCCTGAAGAGACTCTGGTAGAACCTAGCGGTCGTGGAGATTGTACGGCTTGTAGTGACATGGACCCTTGCACCACCGGCAAGAAGCCCTTGGATAATCTCTACAGCAATGGAATCAGGACCGGCACCTGTCACAAGGACTGTTTTACCAACATAACTGAAACCCGTGGTGAGGCCAGCCTCCATCACTTGATGAAGCATCTCAGTAGCTTTTGCGTCGTACGTCCAGTCCTCATCGACGTTGCGTGTTCTAAGATGCACAAAAGGGGTGGGCGCTTTGGTACTGGTACGAGAAAGATAGCCTCGGCGGATTACGTCCGCGTAGCTGCATACCGAGCGACTTGTTTCCGTATATTCCAAACGTCCTGAGCTGCGGATACTGATACTTGGCATCAAAGGGGGCAATGTGTGGATGTGTACAGGGTCAGTCGCTTGAGCCCGAATTCCTAACTTCAGGAATTGGTTCAACATCACAACATGGCCTTTCATCTCGCAAGCTGTGGAAGTTGACATCTCCAGTCGATGTAAGATGATATCCGTGCAGCCAGGGTCCCAGCGATTCAGAATTCGACGTAGGCGACCACCTTTCTCTGAAAGCACTGCGTCTTTAGATCCCTGTGAACTCGCATATATCCACTTAAGCAGGTCTTCACGGACCCAGTTCCACGAAGAATCATAGTGTCTGACTTGCTGGAGATTAAAGCTAGGTCGGACGCCTTGTAGGAACTCCTCGCCAAATTCTGCATTCCACTGGTCCAAACTTTCTTGCAAGTCTGATATATGATCCACCGACTGTGCCGAATCCTCGAGATCGCCAGGCTTGATCTTCAGATAATCTGCAAGCAATTTCAGCTGCTTGTGTTGGAGATCTTGTTGTTCCTTTCGAAGTTCACTGAGCGCCACTGCATCTATTGGAGTGGGCTCCGAGTATCCATTTTCGTTATCTAGTCGTCGCTGCGTTGGCAACATAGTTATCCCTTCGAACTCCGCGTATTGACCAACGAGGTTGTCCAGATATGCATGCGCGGCCCCTGCATCCGCCAGACGAGATGACGGCTGCACAGTAATGGCAAGGCATATAGGAATCATTCCATCAGGGCCCTCCAAGCCCCACTTTGAATGCATGTACATCTGTGCCGATCTCTGGTTAAATCCTGCCGGCATTTTGCTTGATATAAACCTGGATATCAATGCCGACATCTGTTTCCCAGGCTTGCCCGAAAATCGTCCCTGAAGTGCTTCCACTAGGTTGGCCAAGGACATATCTTCCATGCTTTCCGGGACGCGGCCGAATTCGGCGACCAAATCACCTATCAGCTCATTTTGAAGAGTGGACTTTCCTGGAGAAGTCAGTATGTTGACCATGAAGTATTGTTAATGGAACACACCTCCCGACAAATTCCGGATCGTCGTGTCCATTGGCACTTGATCGAAAGAGCATCGCAACTTCTGACCCGTGATCGCTAAGAGAATGTGACGCGCCGAAAGTGAAACTTTGGCGCTGGGTACATGAGCAGAAGTCTTTATAGGGGTGAAGGCCAGGGATGCTGCTACTGATTCTGACTCTCCATCAGATCGAGAGTCTTCTACGGCAACGGCCAATTGAGTCGAAGTCGATGCTGAGGTTGTCCTCTGAATGGTGGATGGCAGCCGCACAGGGTCTGGATACTCATAGATTATTCTGTTCCGGTCATCTTGATACGAAATAAATTGTATATACGACCACTGCGATGGAGTATATCGATCATGATGTATAGAAGCGGACTTTCTAGCCATCCTTGTGAGCGTACTCCGCGGGCCAATCTCGATGAACCGCTGCACTGGCGATGATCTCCGGAGAAGCTCGTTCTGCGTTTCGATCCTGCGCATTATCAATGGCTGAATCGCAGATTAGTGGGAAATGGAACTCACCATCTTACTGGAGATGATAGCTGATACCTATGAGCTGCGTTCAATATAGCGCACTTGTGATTAGGAGAATCAGGGAACCTACGCAAGTAGCTCGATGAACAACCTGTACGCCAAATCTTTCTCCTCATGCCTAGTGGCTACCTTGCTGTGGGTGGGTGAACCTACTATCCCATTGGGAGCCATGGAAACAAGCTCGATGGGTGGAGAAGTTATCAAGTCGGCGCTTGTAGGTTCCTTGCTAGCGAGATTCAGATTAGATTTGAGGCAGGCGCATGAGAGAAAAATGGGCCAATTACATTCTCGATAGGGACCATCCTGGTAATAGGCGAATACCGGAGCCACTACCGCCTGGTCGAGATGTGAGTATAGAAAGACTACCCCCGACGACTGCGCTTCATGTACATCGACATCTAGGCTGCCAGATGTGGAGGTGAAAAGTACCAGGTCTCCTGACCTCTTTTCTACTGGAGTCTATTTCCAACCAGTCACAGGGAACCTGACGTGTTAAAAGCCTCCGGGTGGCTAGGCACTAAAACTCCGTCTGCGAAACTCCGGGGAGGACAAGTGTGGGTGTAGGGTTGGGCCTGGCCAAACTCCGGCCAGGCAGAAGGGTTTCAATAAGATTATGCAGAAGAAAGTGGGCTGTTTCCCGTCATTGACTACCCCGGATCAGCAATGCATCTACACGCTAGTGGAGAAAATTACTGCAGGAAGAGTCTGACCCCATATCGCGATCTCGAACTGACTAGGAGCGCCGTCGACAACGCAAAGGATGGACTAGTGTGTGCTGCACGGAAGTCTACCTCCGACTCCAGAGTGATGAATCAACGAGTGGACTATGTTATGCTTCAAAATGAATCACTGAAGATTAATAACTGGCTGGATCTTGCAAAATAGCGAGGTCGGCATGGCGCTTGAGATTTCCCCTACTGGTGTGGCATACTCAGCACCGGCAGATGCCATGTGCGCTGCTCTCTCGCCCTCGCCACCAGTGTCTGATACGTCATCCCCAGCTCCTTCTGTTACAGCTGATATTTATTTCGATCTTATAGACAGCAAGCTAGTTCTACCGATTCCTATCAAGCACTTCCCATGCATCCAGTCATATAGAACGGCGTTCATATCGCACTTCTCTTCGATATATCACCCCAACTTTTCGCAAGATTCAGCCTTGTTATGTTTGGCTTTCATTGAGTTTCTTCTTGCCCAACAAGGACTTTCCAGGTATTCACTAGCAGCTGTATTGCGAGCTTTTGAGGCCGAATTCTTGCACGGCGATAACGAGATACATTGCCTCATCGCGGAGTTGACTACGGTCGCTAGCGAACGGCAGAAGTGGTTAATGATCTATTACGATGCTGTTGAGGCCAGTGGTGATATAACATGTACAGCCTCGCGCAGCCTTTCCAGGGGCAGCGCTTTATTAGACCATGTGCAGGCTAGTGGATTTCGCCTAATGGCCGTATTTGGTGGCCAAGGTGAGGCAAGTCGGACATGTGTGCAGGAGTTGGCAGACCTATACACCACATATAGGCCTCTACTGGAGTATTTTATTCAGCAGACTGCTACTTTACTTTCTGAACTCTCTAGGCTTCCAGATTCCTGGTTCAGTCGCCGTGGACAGTCACTGGACTTGATGACGTGGATCAGCGACGTATCGACTATCCCAGAAGGTGAATACATAGCCCAGGCTCCAGTCAGTGTTCCTGTTATCGGGCTGCTGAGCCTGGCACGATATACAGTGACCTGCCGGGTTCTGCACATGGACCCAGGGCAGCTACGTGCGATGCTTTCGGCAACTACCGGGCACTCGCAAGGTTTATTGATATCCACAGTCATATCCGCGTCCGACTCCTGGGATACATTCTATACAAACTCTCACCTTGCACTTGAAGCTTTGTTTTGGCTTGGATTGGAATGTCACCAAACTGCGCCCAATAGCTATTCGAGAGTGACCACGTCCGCCCTGAATGAGACAAACGCTGCGCCGTCATACATGCTTAGTGTGCGGGGTGTTTCTAGGGAGCAGCTTGGGTCTATACTAGGTCGCTTGAACGAAACGTTACCGCAAGATGAGAACATCCAACCAGCCTTAGCTAATGGGCGTGACCATTTTGTGGTGGCAGGACCAATTGCATCCTTGGTGCATTTGGATAGTCAGCTCCAGAGCATGAAAGGCCCCGACACTGACACTAGTCGGGTTCCCTTCAGCAACCGGAAGCCGGCTATTCAACATGGATTCTTACCAATCAGTGCACCATTTCATACCGAATACCTTGCGAAAGCTGTCACAGCCTTGAAGTCACGGTTCCCAGGACAATACATCGCGAAGGAGCAACTAAAGATTCCCGTCTACCACACGTCCACTGGAGAAGATTTGCGGAAGCGTTGTGGGAATATACTGCATGAAATTTTCAATGCCATTGCTCGGGAGAATTGCGATTGGCCCACAGCTTTATCTGGAGAAGAATTCGTCATGTCACCATCGCACATCATCGTTTTTGATCGCGGTGGACTTGGACCGATGGTTCAAAGAATTGTGGAAGGGAAGGGCGTCCGCGTTATTCAAGGTGGCGATCTCGAGACTCGTGACTCTGATATAGGTACCATGCGAGATCTATTCTCTCCGCGCCTGCTCGACTCGTCTTTGAGGCCTCTTAGCTGGGCTCAACAGTTTCGACCGCGTCTGACCGCAGGATCCATACGGACGCGAATCTCTAGCCTTTTGGGTACCCCTCCGGTGGTTGTAGCTGGTATGACACCCACTACTGTTCACTGGGACTTTGTTTCTGCCATAATGAATGCTGGATATCATGCAGAGCTTGCCGGAGGTGGCTACAGGGACAGCTCTGACATGACTACCGCAATCAACGACCTTGTAGCCCATATCCCCGCCG